TTTTGTGAGATCAGGAAGTAACTTTTTCTCAACAAGAATTTTGATTCCCTGCTTGGAAATATGGCCAAGTTTTTGATGCCATATCATTGCAGTCCTTTCATCTGAACTGCTCGAAGCAACTGATGCTTTTGCTTCGTGTAGCGTCTCTCCCTTCAGCATGTACAAATTTACAGCTATCTTCTCTCCCTCTATTATTACTAGCGCACCTCGAATTATTTTCATAATCTTGTTTGCAATTTCAACCTTGCAACTAAGATCATCCAACTGTCCCAAAGACAACAAATTTTTCTTCAGGCCCTCCACATGCCGCACTTCTTGAAAATGCAAATTGTTCTATCACTCATCCTCAGCTTGATGGTTCCAATACCAACGATCTTTAAAGCATGATCGTTGCAACTCAACACAGATCCTCCAAAGATAGGTTCATAATGATGGAACCATTCTTTCCGAGAGGTCATGTGAAATGTAGCTCTCGAGTTAAGAAGCCATACATCTGCAAATCTTTTTCTGCTTTCCGTCGCCGTTGCTGCTTCACAACATAGAGCTTTTCCATCATCTAAAGTGGTTATCGCATTTCCTTGAGGATTGAAATTTTTCTTTAAATTCCAACAATCTTTCTTCAAGTGACCTTTCTTGCCACAATTGTAGCATTTGAAATTCTTCTTACTCCTAGACTTGGATCTACCATGATTGTGACTCCCACTTTGGCCACGTTCCGTTGATCTTCCTCTTGTCACCATTAAGGCCTCTGCTTGTTGCAAGCTCATCTGCCTTTCTTCCTTGTTTTTGCGCCGATTTTCTTCTTCTAATACAACAACAGCGACATCATCGAATACTAAGAGTTCCTTAGGTTTCTTGTTTGTCAAATTAATGATAAGTTAATCGTGCGAATCAGGTAGACTTTGAAGTAGAAGCTCCGCACGCTCTTGTAACTCTATTGTATATCCCAACGCTTTAAGTTGAGAAAACAGAGTATTGAGGGAATTTATATACTCTGTCACCAAAGTAGATTCCACCATCCGCAGGGTATAGAGTTTCCTCTTAAGGAAAATTTTGTTGTGGAGTGATTTGGCCTTATACAATTTGGTGAGATGATCCCAAATTTCCTTTGCTATTTTCTTCTCTTCTATGCTTGTCAATATTTCATTTGCTAATGCAAGATGAAGATTTGTAATAGCATTCTTGTTCATCTCCTTCCACTTCTCATCTGTGATTGTCGTCGGTTTTGTGTCTACAGCCTCTTGGCAATTATCTTTTCTCAAGATAGTCTTTATCTTTAATTTCCACAATGAGAAATTGCTCCCATTGAACTTTGCTATCTCAAATTTTGTCGCCATTGCTTTTATCAGGACTCCCACTGTTTCACGTGAATAGTACCGTATATGTGAACAGTAACTGTACACGTGAATAGTACCTGTATACGTGAATAGTACCCAGTACCTTCCAAGGGTAAATAATAATTTATCTTATTTTCTTATGTGGAGGATCCACTATTTAGTGGCAACCACAGAGTATACGATAAGTAGATATCCACACCCAAGTTAGGCTTTGATACCACTTGTTGGGTAATTGACAAGCCTAATAAAGTAAAACTACGGCTAATAAATAAGATGAAATAACAAAACAGGGACACAAAATTTTACGTGGAAAACTCCCAAATAAATTTAGGGTAAAAACCACGGGCAGGAATAGAAGAATTTCACTATGAGGAAAAATAGGAGTTACAATCTCTCTCTATTTAAGGAGATAAACAATAACAATCTCTTTTAGAATAGGAGAAAAAATAAAAACTCTCTTTCACTCTCTCTATCTACTAGATGGTTTTGGGAAAACTTGGGATGATTTGAGGAGGCCATTCTCTTCTCTATTTATAGGGGAGAATGGCCTCAATTTTACAGAAAAGGAGGCTCTTGCATCGCACAATGTCAAAGAAGAGGGCTCCTTTCGGTGCTTGGGTCAAAGAGGAGCCACAATCCTCCATCTAAATAGTTGGATCCATCATTCATTTTCAAATAAAAGAGGAGCTGCAATATGGGTGGCCCCCTTTTTGCTTTTGTCAAAACAATGAGGCTGCTTGTTAGCAGCCAAAGAAGAAAAATCAAATAAAGATGGGCTAGACCCCACATATTTTACATGATTTAAATGCTCTCAATATATTATTAATGTATTTATTGAATTATTTTTAAGAGACTGAACATGATTTAGATTTATATAAAAAAGCCTCAAGGACAAGCACTTGAAAACTTTTCTCTTTTGATTAATTACTGTTTACTCTCCAACTTCAGTGCGAATCTACGAGGAATTTTGTTGAGCAACCTTGCCAAGATAACACATGAAATTTCAACACAGGTTCTATCAACTCTTCCCCAACTCGTCTCCTTTTTCCGACTCCTTATGGTATTGGTGCTTATCGTATCAAACTTAGCCCGATTCATCTTGAGTTTTCCCCCTCAGATGATTGTGTCCTTGCATCAATCCACCGATTTCCTTGATTTCAGTATCTTCCCGCCTATTACAAAAACAAAAATTAAAGAGGTAAACACCCATTACCTTGACAAAATTATCTAAAACTTTCCTAGGATTTTTCAGGCGGCTCAATGATTTTGGTGACCTAAAGTCAAATTTAAACAAGAAATTTTTGATTTTTTAAAAAATTAATATAAATTTTTGTATAAAATTTATTCTTCTAACTTTTTAAGATGCAAAATTTCTAATTAAATTTTTATATTTAATTTTTTCTAATATTTCTTTTCAATTGATAATATAGATAATCGATTTAATCATTCTTGAGACATAGTTGATCATAGATCAGATTTTATAAATTTTAGTTTTGAAAATTTTCTTTCTTCCAAAACAACAATTGCAGAAATTGTCAGCATATAATTAGAAAAATAATCTTTTTTTTTTTCACAATGTTGGCAGTTGAAGATTTCTCTTGTATTTGTACAATTTCTCTCAAGGTTCTTAATTCTGAATATAAATCCAAACCATCAATATTAGAATAATTATTATATTTTATGGAATTTTCAATAGTAATGCGCTGCTTCAATTCCTTATTGTCTCAAGATTTTTATTTTTCAACAAAAATTAAAAAATCAAAAAGAAATAAGTGAGTGTTAAAATTAAAAGATAATTATTTTGGGAAGAGGAGAAATTTTAATTATAAAATAAATGAAAGTGAAAAATTAGAAGTTAGGGTTGATAATCAGATTCTAGGTGACTAATTAATATGAATAACACGAATTATGCGGCCTTGTTGGTTATGAGTTTTTTTAAAATTATTTTTATAATTATTTAAATTATTATAATAATAAAAATATTATAAAATCTAATATTTTAGGAGGCCCAAAGCAGTTACTTTATTTGCTTTACATTAACCCCGGCCTTGATTCTTTGTTTATTTATGAATACCAAACAATATTGTCCTCCAATATATTTTTCAAGGCAATTTTTCCACTTAAGGTTGGGCTGTTAAGCCCACTTGTGAGTTTCTGTAAACCAAATATGCAAGTTAAGCTAGTCAGATGTTGGGCCATAGAAATCTAGAAGCCCGTAAGCCTGAATTTGTCAAACATCTCCCGGCTAACATCTTTCCAATTCTTGATGACTTAATTGATAACTTTTTATAATGTAAAGGGTGTAGTATAATATCTTTAAGTTAAGGATTTGAAGTGATGCCTGGCGTCCGATGATAGAAATTAAAATTGTATTTCGCCCAAAAATAAATATAAAAAAAATCACATATATTAAATAGAAACTAGGGAATTTTATTGAAAGGCAAGATAAATATTCTTTAAATCTTAATTACTGATAGTTTCCAAAGTTAAAACAGTCGGCAGACTTGGGGACTTACCTAATCCCTACTCCAACCATTAGATTTACGTAGTATATATATGTACACAATATAGAGTCGAGGAAGGAAAAAATCATGGAAAGAGACGAAGTGGAGACGAAGCAGATGATCTGCCAGTTTGTTGTCCCGCCGAGTCCCTCACTCCCTGTACCACCGACGGCTGTGGTTTGATGGGATCGTCGGCGACGCTAAATATGTGTAAAAAGTGCTGCGACGACTACATGGATCAAGAGATGGAGACAATGGTGAGATCGTTATTGGGCAGAGAAGAAGAGGGTACTAATGTTACTCTCGACCCAACTGCAACTCCAACACCAACACCACCCCCAGAAATCGACAAACCCAAGCCTTGCGTCGGAGACGCCCCGCACCCTCTTTGCGCCCATGGCTGCGATTTCTTGGTACTGCGGGATTCGGGGACTTGCAATATCTGTTCGAAATGCTACAATGATCATGCAAAAATCCGTAGATGGAGATTGCTACGCCAATCAGGCCTTGCTGCTGTTTTCCCTGTTTCAAGGAACCATGAGTACATGTTTCCTCCTCCTCTGGTTCCCGCGCGACAGTTTGGATTGCCGGAAATCCGACAAGTTGATCCCAAAGGACTGAACCAGAGGAAGTGATGGATTATCTCGGTCTCTTTACCAACTTGTCATTAGTTATATTAGATTTTGATTTTCACTATGACATATAGAATCTTAGATAAATATGCGTGTTAGAAATAACAAGAGTTTCTGTTGAATAATTTTGATGTGTCCATAATTTTTGAGAATATTAATTATAAAAAGCAATAACCTTTTTCTTTTTTTTTTTTATAGATTCACCAGAGTTCTTTCATATTTTATTTTTATTTTTAGTTTTTGCTGTCCTCTGAAATTTCCATAGCCCTTGGAGACTCTTTTCTCCTTTTTCTGTCACAACACAAACCTGCATGCACCCAACCAGGTCCAGATCCTCCGGATCAAAGGGGGTCTGGAATAATTTACCTACAATCCAACTACCATTTTCACAAGCATAGAAATACAAAGCAAAATGGCATGCAATTAAGTTTTATCAAGCAGTTATCTCCTCCATCGTCACTAACATGGGCACCTCCCCCTCGTAAAATTCCTTTCTTATAGTCGAGCTTAATCCCCCTTGCCTACCAAATTCCCTCAGCAACAGGAACACATTCATTTGCTGCTACCCAAATTCCCTCAGCAACAGGAACGCATTCATTTGCTGCTCTGCATATAACGGCCACGTTGCGACTGGCACTCCGCACCACAAGCTCTCTAGTTTTGAGTTCCATCCACAGTGCAGTGCGACACGAAACCCTAACGGCAGGATGTTGTTGGGTTCCTTCATGTGAAAGGGAAAAAAAATTAAATAAATAATAAATTTGTTGGATCTCACTAAGGTTTCAAACACTTTACCATATATATTATATTTTTCGTATGTCTAGGTTTGGAGAGAGAGGTGTAGCCTACCAGAAGAAGAGGAGAAGAAATTTTTTTTTTCCCCTTGAAAATCTCTTACTCATCAGCTTATTAATTTTACATTTGTAATTTCATCTATTGTTGGATCGATTTTAAATTTGGACTGGGTGATCTCCATTCTTTGTTCTTCAATCTGAATGGTGAAAATCTTGTTTGGAATCGAAATCTTTAGGTTTTGGGTAATTTGTAAAAGTTATTTTCTAGATTTCTTCTGAAATTTTTCTATATTCAATTCACTATTTTGCCATTTGCAATTTTGTTCACCATTAGATCGAGTTCAAATTTAGAGTGGGTGTTTGTCACTTGTGGTTCTTGATTTTGAATGGTGTAGATCCGATTTGGAGGTCAGAATTATTGGGTTTAGACTACTCAAATGCAATCTGTTTTCGAGTTGCTATGTCAAAAAACCGGTTTCATCATCTTTGCAGATTAGAAGGTCATTTGTGGTCTGATTGAATTGATTTTGGAGAGAACGTTGTAAACTCATCGTTCTTTGATTTGAACGATGGAGATTGCATTTGGACAATTAGAAGGTATTCACATTATATGAACAGCAACTGCTCTTGGTGATATTTTTCCGTAACTTTATTATCTTTGAATTTTTTTGAAGTGTGATTGAGATTTTGATTGTAAATTTCTTGTGACAGATTGTAATTACTGTAAATATTAATATTTTGATAATGAATTTTTTTTTTTAAATCGAAAAGAGATCTCGTGATTTTTATACTTTACATTGATAAAATTTTTTACGTTAAAATTATTGTACCTTGTGAGACTATTTTATATATTTTAGATTACTTATAATTATTAATTATAAATTGCTACTAAACAGTTGTTATAACTCCCGTCAGATGTGATAGTACCGCTATCTGGAGGCCCAATCGATCAGTTCCCAATATCAGCCATTTTTTCCATGAACCCTTCTGGGAGGATGTCTTCCGGGTTTTCGTACCCACTTGGCTCTTCTGTTTTCTACTTTGCCTGTGGCTTTCTTAGGGACCACAAGAATCAGTGGCCAGCGCGTTCCAACGCTTGGTCTATCTCCTTCATCTGATCATGCTCGAAGCTATCCATGCTAGCGGAACACGTCCCCGGGGGGGGTGGGGTGTTGGTGGTGTTCGCTGAACAACCAACCAAGTCATTGCTTCTTCTGATTTTTATTTTTTGTTGTCGAGGTTGACAATGGGCCCCACTGGATAAACAGGTGGAACTGTGTGGTCGTGTGGCAGGGAGACTCGACCGCATATGAGATTCTAACTCCTCAAATGTGTTGATCAAGATTCCTTTAGTTTTCTTCAACTTACTCGCAAACATTATTGAACGTGGTCAACCCGCCAGTTTCCTTGTCGAGCACCAACGCCTCAGGACCTTAGCGGGCAATTGGTAACTCCGTGTCTGAGTCCTTACATTACGAGTCTTTACCGAAATCCTCCTGAAGAGTGTAGAGATCGAACATGAGACCATGAAGACGAGCGCCGGGGGTGAGGAAGGCGCAAGTCGGAACACCGAACTCGTCGGCCACTTCCATCATGGAGGTGCAGAACATGTTGAGCACATACCGGGCAAGTTGAGTTGACTCAAAAGACTCGAATATTAATGGTGACACGGCGTTTCTAACTTGGGGCTTCTGGAACTCGAAGAAGTTGACGACGTCGGCGAAGGAGCTGGGACCTCTCTCAGAGAAGCTTCCCATGATGGAGTCGTCAAGGGGGAGATTGAAGAAACGGATCCTTCGGGGCGTTGACGCGCCAGGTTCGAAGGGTTTGGTCTAGAAGGAGGAGAGTGCAAGTGGAGGATGGTGATGGAGAGGCGTTGGTCTCGGCTGACGAGGATTTGCGATCTCCACTGTCGAAAAAAAGTGACCAGCTTCGGGAACGGGATAAACACCGGCTCCTGTTTTCACCTTTTTGGATTTCTTCTGTTGTGTTTCTGTGATCTGTAATGCGCCAGCTGCAAGAGCTATATCCAAAGGATGAGTGTGAGGCTATGAGTTGACGAGTTATAACTGGCTTCAGCCTGAGTTGATTTACTCTTATAGATCACAACATGGTAGTAGTTGAGGAAAAGATGAAAATATCTTAATTTTCAGAGATGTTTTAGTTTGGAAATTCTACATAAAATTTCAACAAGATTTGGAAAATAAAATATTATAGAAATGGAGAATTCCCACTCTGTGCAACAGCATATATATGGTATGCTCAATTTCGCGCCCACGTTAATTGAAAGATGGCTAAGACGAGGTTGGCGACGTCAGTGCGCGTCCAAGCAGCGCGAATAGTGACGTCAACGCTTGGCCCGCCGGAAGCATCCGTCAAGTATCCATCGGGAGCATATACCAAGGTTCCACGTAACAAGATGTAACACCATATAAATAACATTATAAAACATTAGAGATTTGCCTTCAATATGGTATTACCAAGGGAAAGAAGAGATGGCATCCCTTTATAGGCTTTGGAAAAAGTGAAAATAGTATTCGCCTCCATATTAGATCATTCCTTGGTGTGGTAATTCGAGTGATCAAAATGTTCCTTTATAATTATATTAGTTTTGATTAAATTCAAACAAAGTTGCTTAAGCCCAAGCCAAATTAAACTAATTTATGTCTAAAAATCAACTAGCTTGATTAAATTTGTATATGTCCAAAGTGGAAAATGAAAATAATCTAAATTGTAGCTGTAGTAGTTTTGTAATCTGCATAACTAGCAATCTACTTTTCTTTGTCACGGTATATTTCATATTTATTTAGTTCTATTTTTAAAAGTTGTGTCTTATCTTTCACATTAAGATGAATTTATATTATATTATATATGTGCAGGTATCATTTCTTTATGATAGAGGAGACACTGTCTCTGATAGCAGTATTTAATAGACCTATGATTAGATTTTTATTTCTCGTCTAATCCTAATTCCTTGTTTGAAACGGAGAATGAATTTAGGATGCCGCTATCTCATCATTATACTAGAGGGAACTCTATGTTTATGAAGGGGAATTAGATTTTTTAATAAAGAAATAAATTTATTCAAAATTTAAAATATTTGTTAATCACTCCATTATTGCACTGGTCTCGCAGAAAGCGATAACGAACATCTATGCGTTTGCTTTTCTTATGTAATACTGGATTCTTGGAAATCTTAATTGTTGAAATATTATCACAAAATATTGTTGTTGGTCCCACTTGCTTGCTTTGAAGCGTTTCCAACAACTTTCTTAACCAGATAACTTGACAGGAACATGTTGTTGCAGCAACATACTCTGCTTTTGTAGAAGATAAAGTATCTATTTGTTATTTTTTTAATGACCAAGAGATTGCTCTAGAACTCATCATGAATATAAAACCTGATATACTCTTTCTATCATCAATGTCTCTAGCATAATCACTATCTGTAAAGCCAAGAAGCAAATCTTCATTATCTCCTTTCTGATAAAGGATTCGAAAGTCAACTGTACCTTTTAAGTATCGCAAAATCCTTTTGACAGTTAAGAGATAATTTTCAGTTGGACTTTTCATATACCAGCTTATTAAACTGACACTATACATGATGTTAGGTCTTGTTACAGTTAGGTACATTAAACATCCAACCATCTATTTATAGAGCGTGGGATTCATCTTCTTCCCTTCATCATCTTTTTTCAATTTGAGACCATATTCGGTGGGTGTGTTGACAAGATTGCAATCCTTCATCTAGAATCTATCCAAAATCTCAAGAACATGTTTTCTTTGTGAAATAGAGATTCCAAGTGATGACTGAGAAACTTCAATACCAAGAAAGTAATGCATCAAATCTAAGTCTAACATTTCAAATTCTGACATTATATTCTTTTTGAATTCAGCAAGCATATCTTTGTCATTCATAGTGTAGATGAGGTCATCCACGTACAAACATATCATTAGCATACTTACATTGGCATGAGTCTTGGTGAATAAAGTATGTTCATAAGGGTACTTCTGAAAACTTTCTCGGGCAAAATAAGCTTTAATACGACTATGCCAAGCCCGTGGGGCTTATTTTGAGCCATATAGAGCTTTTTTGAGTTTGTAGACTTTATGTTCATTGTCATGCTTGGCATATCTAAGAGGTTGATCAACATATATCTTTTCTTGTAGGTCTCCATGCAGGAAGGCTAATTTTACATCAAACTGATAGATTAGGCATGACTCCTAGGTAGCCATGGATAACACCAATCGGATAGTGTCAAGGCGAGCAATAGGGCAAAACACCTCCTTATAGTCAACTCCATATTCTTGCCTGTACCTTTTTACTACAAGTCGGGCATTGTGCTTATTGATGCTGCCATCTTATTTAATTTGGTTTTGTAAACTCATTTGACTCCGATGGCTTTTGTCCTTTTGGAAGGTCCACTAAGTCCTAAGTGTTGTTCTTTTCAATAGCCCTGATCTTTTCATCCATTACTTTTTGCTATTTTGGATCCTTATTAGCTTCGTCAAATTTGATAAGATCACAATCTGCAAATAAGGCAAAGTGAGCAATATCATCATCATCAGATAACCCCTTATCTGTTACGTAGTCTTGCATCCAGTTAGGTTTCTTTCTAGGACGTTGTTGAGGCTCTTCTATAGGATCAATCTAAATAGTGTGTTTGCTAGAAGTTTGAAATTGTTAAGGTGAAGATGAGTTTGTGTCTTTATCATCAAAACTGACCTATATAGGCTGTTGCCTAGAAGTATCATCACTCCAATTCCAGGTGCTTCCTTCATCAAAGACAACGTCCCTGTTGATTACAATCTTTTTAGTAACTGGATTGTAAAGCTTGTAGGCATTGAAAACTTCATTTATCCCCAGAAAGACACATTTTCACTTTAATCATCCAATTTCTTCCTTTTCTGATGAGGAATATGTGTATATGCAATGCACCCAAAGATTCTAAAGTGGTCAACAGATGGCTTTCTCCCACTCCATGCTTGTTCTGGTGTTATGTTGAGAATAAAAAAAGTAGGGCTCCTATTTAACACATGAATGCTCCAGTTGACTATTTCGGGCCAAAAGGTTTTCGGGATCCTTCCTTTGGTAATCATGCTACGAACCATGTTAAGAATGATTCTATTCTTCCTTTTAGAGATTCTATTTTGTTGGGGTGAATAGGCTGCAGTAAGTTCCCTTCGAATGCCTTGGTTGACACAGAAGGCATTGAACTCCTTGGAACAATATTTTCCACCTCGGTCAGTCTTTGGAGTTTTGATGGATCTCTTTGTCTCATTCTCCACCTGTGCCTTGAAACTTTTGAATATTCCAAAAGTTTCCACCTGTGCAAAAAATAAACCCAAGTTTTCGAGAATAATCATTAGTGAAAGTAATGAAATAACGGTTACCACCATTGAAAGTCAGAATGATAGGGCCACAGATGTTAGAATGGATCAACTCAAGCACTTTCTTTGCTCTCCATGACTTTCCTTGAGGGAACTGAGAGTGAGGTTGCTTGCCAACAACACAATCTTCACACATTTGTGAAGGAGCTATAATCTAAGGAAGACTTTTAATAGTATTCTTCTATTGGAGGTTCTTCAATCCTCCAAAGTTCAAGTGCCCATATCAATAATGCCAAAGCCAAGATGGATTCTTGATTTTGGCCAAGAAACAAGAAGAAGTATTACACAACCATTCTCTTGCAATTGTCCAATGCTCAATGAGTTACTTTTTAGATCTGGAACATAGAAGATGTAGGAGATAGTTTCTACAAAGCCATTGTTGGTGCGGATGTTAATATCACCTTTTCGAAGCATCTCAACTGCAGAACTATCACCAAAGCGAACAGTTGATTGAAAATTTTCATTTAAATTTGAGAAATGTGACTTACTTCCACACATGTGATTGCTACATCCCGTGTCTACATACTAAACATCTGATTCAGATGGATTTGTGATGTGGGTGACCATTAGGATAGTCTCAACATCATGTTGCTATTCTTGTTATTTTGAAAAGTTTGTTTTCTTCCATCTTTCTTTGTTGTTAGGCAGTTTGGTATAGTAATCATAAATATAGTGGCCAAATTTGTGACATTTATAATATTTGACCTTAAATTTGTTATGCCGTCCTTACCTCTACCTTGGTTGTTGTTGGCTTTGGGATGTTGTTCTTGTTGTTTATCTCCATCTTTGGAATCTTATCCTTCTCCTCCTCTACCTCTACCTCGTCCTCTTTCTTAGCCTCTTCCTCTAAAGTTCGAGGATCGAGTAGAAGTATAGACTTTGAGGCTTGTTCCTCCTTAGTTGAACTTCAGTTCAACTTTTGTTCGTGCGCCTAAAAGGAGCTTTGAAGTTCATCAATTGAAAGTACATCAAGATTTTTAGATTCTTCATGGAACAAACAACAAAGTCATACCTCGGTGTTAGGGAACGTAGGATCTTTTCAACAATGGTGACATCATCCATCTTTTCTCTTTGAAACTGTATCTTGTTGACAATCTCCATGGTTTGGAAAAAAATAACTCGTAATGGACTCACTGTCTTTCATTTCAAGAATCTCAAAATCTTGTCTTAAGGCCTGAAGTTATGCACGCTTTACCCTTGATGAGCCTTGATATTTCTTTTTCATGGAGTCCCATATGTCTTTTGAAGTCTCCTTGTTGAGTATGGTATCTAAGATTGTACAGTCTATTGCTTGGAAGAGATAGTTTTTGGCCTTTAGGTCTTTCAGCTTTAAACTCTCTAATTCTGTCTTTTGGACGACTATTAA